AGCTTAGGTTGTAAAACTAACGGTAGACCCTGGGCTTAAGCAACAGGGCCCTCCTGTACTTGCCAGAACACTTCTTTTTCGGGGGGAAGGCGGCAGGGTTAAGGGCATCCTGAGATTCCTAGGATGCAGAAGCACACAAGAGAGGTCAAAGTCACCTCTCAGTGGAACTAAAGCTGCCCTTCACTGATACATCCTCGGGGAAATGTGAATCTCTTCACACACAGGACGTTCTCAGAAATGCTTGACTTTGGGGCTTATAAAAGTCAGGTTCAGGAAAACAGCATGTCTGGGAATGTATACTATTTGCTAGAGCCTAATTCGACTCCAGGCTGTGAGTAGAAAGCCGAGCATAGATCACTGAGCCTGCCCATATAGCTTTTGTTTTTACATGTAATTTTTGAAAATTTTTTCCCTCCTTACTAGAGTTAATCGGCTCACACCACTCATTCATCATCTCAGGTTGCTACCTCTCCTCTCCACCTTCAGAGTAGGGAGGTTCTGGAAGTGATTAGGTTGTTGTAAATCAGCTTTTATGATGTGACTGTCAGAGATAAGCAGCAAGGAATGCAGGAGTTGGAGGACTCAACTCATCTAGCCCTGACAATTATCCTAGTAATGAAATAAAAAATAGTTATATGACTGGAAAGTATGATGTTTGTCAGAATAGTTTCTTCATAGGCATATCCTATGTTTAAGTTTGGCGCTTTCATGAGAACATTGCTTTATTTTTATACCATTTTATTGAAGTATATTTACATGAGGTAATGCAAACAAATGTGAAAGTACACCTCAGGGAACTTTTACATATGTATGTCCTTTTATAATCATCACCCAGATCTAGATATAGAACATTTCCATTGACTTAGGAAGTTCCCTTACACCCCCTCCCACTGTTCTGACCTCTGTCACCATAGCCTGTTCTTGAACTTCGTATAAATGGCATCAAACAGCATGTGGTCTTTTATCTCTCCCAGCGTTTTCTATGAGATTCATCCATTAGATCACAGTTTCTCAACTGTGGCATTATGATGCTTTGAACTGGATAGTTCTTTCTTGTGGGGACTGTCCTGTGCACTATAGGATATTTAGCAGCATCTCTCTGGCCTCTACCTGCTAGGGGCTAGTAGCACCTCCCTTCCCCGTAATTTTCCCCCTGGAATTGAAAACCATTGTGTCAAATAAATAAACTACAATTTTTAAGAAACTTCTAATTTGGAAATAATTTCAAACTTACTACAAAGTTGTAAAAATAGAACAAATACAATGTACCTTTTACCTAGATTCACCTATCGTTAACATTTGTTTTATCATTTTCTTTCTTGTTCACACATAAACCCACACACAATTTATTTCTGAACCTTTCAAGAGTGGGATACACCCACCTAGGTCATTTGCCACCATGTACTTCTGAGTATATTTCCCAAGAGTGAGGATCTTCTCCAACACTATCATAATTATCAATTAACCACAGTAAATTTAGCACAATATGTTTATCAATTGCCCACATCCCAATTTTTGTCAGTTGATCAATTATTCTTTATAGCATTCATTTTCACTACAGAGAAGTTCCAGTCCAGGATCAGGTATTGTATATATTTGCCATGGTTCCTTAGTATCCTTCAGTCTAGAACATTCCCTCAGCCTTTCCTTGTCTTTTATGATACTGAAAATTTTTTTTAAGAATACAGTCTCTTTTCTTACAAACAGAACATTCCTCAGTTGGAAGTTTATCTAATCTTTCCTCCCAAATTCATTCAGGATATGTATTTTTATCTGGAAGACTACTTAAGCGATAATGTGTCCTTCTTAGAACATCCCATCAGGAGGCACATGATGTCCACTTGCACCTCATCAATGAGGTTAAGTTTGATCTCCACTGTACAGTTATTATGTTTTCTCTTGGAGCTAATAAGCAGTATATAGGGAAACATTTAACACCATGCAAATATTATGCTACCCCATCCAAGTTTACTCCTGAAATTTAGCATACTTTGACCCTTGCATGAGTAAGTTCTTACCTACACTGGCTAGAAAACGATGATCTTCCAAATCCAGCACTCCTTCTATATGCACTCTCTCTGCTCAGCATTCTACTATATATAAGGGCCCACTCATTTCCCCCATTTACTTATTGATATTTTTACCTATTATCAGTATGGACTCATGAATTCCTTTTTTCAATGGTTTATAAATCATGACTGTTATAAATATTTTGATGCACAAATTGCTCAGCTTTGGTTAGTGGGAGTCCCTTGAAGTTGGGCCCTGTGTTCTTCTGACAGATCCTCATCACTTTTTATTTTTTAACACTTTCCTACTTTTTGGCATAGCAAGATGTTCCAGGCTCATCTCTCACCTTCCCTTCTCCTGCTTTGGAATTGGCCATTTCTCCAGAGTCCTAGGTTACTTTTAATGGAGAAAGAAGAAAGTACCACAATTTATTTATCCTTTTTCCTGTTAATTGACATTTGAATTGTTTCTAGTTCTGCACTATTATAAAGAAAGCTTCTCGGAATACCCTTGTACATTTTTTGGGCCTATGAACTAATTTCTGTTGGGTATAGAATCGCAAGTGGTGATGGAAAATCATAGAATCTCTACTCTGGTTATGTACCCAATAGAAATGAGTACATAACATCCACAAAAAGGACACAGATATTCAAAGCAGCTTTTTCATAATTCATCTGTGTATGTATATATTAAGCTTTAGGAGATATTGCTAAGTAGTTTTTCCAAGTGCTCATAACATTCGTTTTGTCAGGGGAGCAGAAGTTATTGGCCCCAGTAGGTAAGGAGAAGTCATCAGTGGCAGGGGTCATAATGGGCCATTGCAATCCAAAGACATGTCTGCGAGCAGAAATGGCAAAATTGCTGATCTTTTCAATACATAATGAGTGGAAAATGCTGGGATTTTGCCAGCTGGTCCATTCTTAAGTTTTAAGAGTGCTGCTTTAAGGTGGGTAAAATGAAAGTTACTGAAGTTAAGAATCTCATACTACTTTCAGTGTTTTCATCTCGGTGATATCAGTGGCAACACTTAGGGAATGCAGGTCCATTGCTAGGGGCACCAGCTGTTAGAGAGCATTAGGGTCACTACTTTGTTTTAAAATATGTCTCACCAGGGGAAGGAGGAATGCACCCAGAGTCCCACTCACATCTTCTGACTGCTAGGGGCCCATTTAGAACCCTGGAACAGTCGTTTACTAAACAGTCTTCGGCGAGTAAGTGCCTCTCTCTATCTATCCAGGGACTCACTTAGTTTTCAAGACATTTGAGACAGGGCGAAAGGACAGTAAGCCCATCAGGAAACTGCCAGAGGCTAACAAGAAAGTGAACTGGTCCAGTATCATGGGGCTAGATTTTGGCTCAGCATTGCCAGGAAGTGCTCGGGCATGGCCTGGCCTCTAGAGCTTAGTTTCCTCATCCAGAATATCTGTCCTACATAGCTTATAGTGCATCATTAGAATCCAAGAGGTAATTGAAGCACTTTTTAAAGTAAAATTCTAAACAGAGAAAACATACAGATACACAGTGGCCTCTTAGTAACTTCGATGAGCCTTTTTAGGAGTTAATAACTGGTAAAATGCATCTCTGTGGATGCATTTTAGCCCAGTGCCCCGGATAGGGGTGACACTGCTGCTCCACTATAGAGTGGGGCGAGCCCTCCTACACACTGAGAGAACCTTTGGTGCAGTGTCCACCTATGTAACTGTAAAGAGGATGGTTCAGATGACCAGCAGTGACCTCCATTGTAGCACATTTGTATTAACCTCCATGGTCCTCTCCTGTCTCCCCCACCCCAGGCCTCTCTGCGGACGGTGGCGCCAAGCGCCAGGAGCATCTCTCCCGGTTTTCCATGCCTGACCTCAGCAAAGACTCTGGAATGAATGTCTCGGAGAAGCTGAGCAACATGGGCACGCTTAACTCATCCATGCAGTTCCGGAGCGCAGAGTCCGTTCGCAGCCTGCTCTCCGCCCAGCAGTACCAGGAGATGGAGGGAAACCTCCACCAGCTCGGCAACCCCATCGGGTACAGAGACCTGCAGTCCCGTGGAAGGATGCATCAGAGCTTTGATTTTGACGGGGGGATGGCGGGCAGCAAGCTACCAGGGCCGGAGGGCGTGAGGATCCAGCCCATGAGCGAACGCACTCGGAGAAGAAGTACGTCCCGCGAGGACACCCGCCGCTTCCGACCTCACCGGTCCCGGCGTTCCCGACGCTCTCGCTCCGACAACGCCCTCCATCTGGTCAGCGAGCGCGAGGCCATCTCTCGGTTGAAAGAAAGACCCCCGCTACGAGCCAGGGAGGACTATGACCAATTCATGCGCCAGCGGAGCTTCCAGGAGAGCCTGGGCCAGGGGTCCCGGAGGGACCTGTATGGCCAGTGCCCGAGGACTGTGTCGGACCTGGCTTTGCAGAATGCCTTTGGGGAGCGATGGGGACCCTACTTCACCGAGTATGATTGGTGTTCCACCTGCTCCTCCTCCTCGGAGTCTGACAACGAGGGCTATTTCCTAGGAGAACCAATCCCCCAGCCAGCCCGCCTGCGATACGTCACGAGTGACGAGCTTCTGCACAAATACAGCTCTTACGGCCTCCCCAAGTCGTCCACGTTGGGCGGCAGGGGACAGTTGCACAGCAGGAAAAGACAAAAGAGCAAAAACTGTATAATTTCTTAATCGGGCTGGGGTCAGGGTATGGGGGAAGATGGGAGCTAAGAATGTAAATTCAGAAACTTGCACTGTTTTCAATTTTAAAGCGCTTTTGGGGGGTGGTTACTGGGAGAGAAGAAGGGAAATGCTGTCAGTTGATGAAGGCAAGATTACAGATTGACTCAATAGGTAGTCACAGTTCTTGGCATGTTGAATATTATTTGCACATTTCACTTTGGAAACTCTAGAGACTCTACGGAGGCCAGGGTTGGTCTCCAACCTCCTGTCAGTGTGTTGAGTTGTCACTCGCAAGATGGCACATTGTTTCCCCGCTCGCTTACGTCCTCTCTGGTTCTCTTATTTTAGGACCCTTTTTCCATTAAGTAATTTGTTTATTAGCCAGGACCCAAGACTAAGTTATTTACATGACCATTGTAAATGCAATGTAAATGAGAGTTCTGATAAAATATTTTTGTATTTTGTAATATCAAAGGAATTTCTATATCGTAGGACTCAGTGAAAGACTTGCATGCACATCCAGCATTGTCTTCGAGTAGTATTCAGAGGTGGTCCAGGATCGCCTGCTTTTTTTTCTTTTTTCTATACAAATTTGTTACATGTCAGTGAGACCTTTTTCAAAGGAGTTTATTTAATCTGACTTTCTGTGGCAAAAAAAAAAAAGAAAAAAAAAGAAAAAAAAAGAATTAACTATTATACCCAAAGCATTTTATGCTCTATTTCATCTTAAGGAGCCATCCTTAAGTCTACTCTCACCCTCAGTAGAATCTGTTCTCTACAAAGTGTTAGTCATTTTTTAAAATAGCAAACATAATTGCCAATTAGAGAAACCAATCAGTGTCAGTAAAGTTCTGTGAGAAACGCCATCCCTGCTGGGAACATTGAAGTTGCTTACTATTGATCTCTTCCTTGGGGAAAATAAAAGTGACTGTGAGTGGTGCTGTTGTGTGATGTCAGCATGACGTTGTTTTGAATGTGGCATTATTTTCTGGTGCTCATGTTTCCTGGATTGTATTATCTGCTTTCCTTTACCAAGGCAGACGGAACAGCTGCCTTAGCCTGACAACCGGTTGTCCTCAGTGCAAATGAACTTAAGCATTAGGAACTTAGGGACGGAAAGGCTCTGATGGGGCTCTGGGAGTGACAGTGTGTTCTAGTTTGTATGATATGCATGGAGAAGGAATAAGGCAATTGGAAAATACAAAGCAGGTCAAGGGTAAAAACTGAAAGAGAATAGGAAGGAAGGTCAGAGGGGGAGGAAGAGCTTCTGGAAATGAGGTAGGGGAGAGGTGACAGCCACCTCAAATAGCCCCTCGTTGCTTGTGGAAGCAATTCAGTGTAACACACTCCATAACCAGAGTATCTGGGTTACCCAGAAAGGTTGAGCTGCTCAGGAGATTTCAGTGTGATGGTCTTGAAAAACAATTGTTGCTGAAAGGAGAATTTCCATCTTGAACTTTGGAGACCATTGGTCAGACAGAAAATGGGCTCAAAAGTTAGTTTGCTTAAAGAAGACATTTAACGGTTGTGTTGTCTATAGTAAAATAAAACTTCCTTCCTTGCTTCAGTTAAAAATGAAGCGCTTGCTTTTCCTTCCATTCTCCTCCTCCCCTTAATGGATTATGGCAGTTGAAATAATCCATCGCAGGACCCACCTTTAGTGAGATGTACTGTCGATGTAGTACACAGTGTATCTCAGTGGCCATTTGCCATGGTGAGGTGAACGTGGTCTCTTTTCAGTATAGTAGTTAATATTTTCTAGTATTTTTTTATGGAGAGAATGTGAAAAGTGGCTTTTCAGACACCATGCCAAATGGGTCTGGGGAAAGGAAGGCTGTAAAGGATGTGGAAATAGCACTCCATTCAGGATGTATTAAAATAATTTGCTTTTCAGGTATTAATATGACATTTGTCATTGTCACTGATTTTTTAAAAAAGCAATGCAAATGTTGGTTGTGGCTGTTTTCCGCATGCTATCTTCATATCTAAATGCTTCATTAATTATCCAAGCCTCCAGAGAATTAACTCTATTACGTTTGTATAGTAAGTTTGTAAACTGCTTGGCAAACTGATTTTAAGAAATAATGTGCAACACCACATGACTAAAGTGGCAGATTTCTGGTAGAAATTGGGCAAGTCCAATTTAGGGTTTTGAGTTCCTCGTTCGATGAGAATAAAAAGGCATTTTGGAAAAAGAAAAAAGAGAAACTAGTAGATCACTTAACCTAGCACAAACTGAAAATAATGTAGGTCCTCTGTAGCCTGGAACCCAAGGAAAGAAATTCTCCTGGTAAATATCGCTTTCTAACTCCGTCCTTTGCATTTCTCAGATGAGGCTTTAACCACCATTAGCAGAAAGAAGAAGGTGGCCTAGAAACTGACACATAACTAGTACCCAAAGGGATTGGAGGAATGAGCAATTTCAGATCTAGTTGCCCAGGCAGCATCTAGCAGCGAAACTGGTCAGAGCTTGAGATGTAATGAGATATAAGCCTCAGGGTCAAACTCTCTACAAGCAAGATCACCTCCATCTGTTTCACCGCTGCAGATGTCATCTCCCCACCCCACATGGAGCCAGGTGCCTTACAGAGAATGCCAATGGAGGTCGGCTACATCCTAACAATGGTCATGGAGCCTCCAGGTGAAAGCCCCAGAGAGAGCAGGGTGTCATAGTTTTGGGCGTTCTACCTGTTAGTGATAACACATACCATCCCAGAATCCCATCCCTCAAAATTCGATGCATTCTTTTCTGAGGCAAGAACTTAGGGTCTTTCATTGATTCCTCCATTATAACCATGAGCTCTTGTTGGCCAAGCTTTGACTGTAAGGGGGTTCTGCGCTCACCTCTTCTTAGATCACCATTTCACCTTCAATAGACTGTTTTTATAAAAGTAATCTTTTCTGTTTCCTTTCTGCTCTAATGCCTTAGAGTTTTGTTTGTTTGTTTTTTACCTCTCCTCATATCAGTCTTCTTGTCTTTTGGTTAACACCACAGATTTAGAGTTCAGTTCATGTCCTATTGCTGCTTCATTCAGTGGCAACAGAACTGGCTCTTTCCCAAGAAGTAGAAGTCATTGACAGTTTCCTGAATGGCCCTGCCAATACATACCACCCTTGATACTGTGAACAGATTTCTTAGCAGGCTGGTGGCATTGAGCATGGCATTCAGGTACCCTTCCTTCTGTCATATAGTTCTGGGATCTCTACCAAGTGTGAAGGTGAATGAGGTGAGGGAAACCAGAACTGTGCTTCTTGGTTTTGCATGTGTTCAAAGGGAGAGAATTCCTCCTGTTGGTTGTTTGACACCTTCTTTCCACATTCACCTTCTGTCCTCTAGTCCTTTTTTTCCACCCTCAGTCAGCCCAGTGATCAAACAATTTTGTATTTCTAAAATGGGACCTGGAGGCAGCTCTCGTCCTCTTTCCCATTCTGTAGGGTGCTTCTGCACTGCAGCAAGATTATATTTTCTTCTCCCCCTGCGGCAGCTTTCTGCTTTTTGGGTACCACTAGCCATCGTTGAGTTCAGGTGGGGCCAACGATGGCATAGCATGTGCTCTGCCATGCTGAAACAACCTAGGCAGATATAACCATTGTTTCACTGTATAATTCCTAGAGAACACTGATACAGCCTGAAAAATCTTGCAACACTCCAACCAGCCAGAACTGGTGGATCAGAACCGATCTTACTTGTCTGATAACAAGTCTTATTTGTGAACTGATTATTATATCTCTTTCCACCCTGGACTCTTTTGCCATTGGCCAAAAATAGTACACCAGCCATTTAGGAAGTTCCATTCATCAGTATTTGTGAGATTCCAATTTCTGTGCCCCCAGATTATGGATGCTAACAGGAGCTGACTTCTTTAGGCTAAGCGAAGACAAATCTCTTTGGCCTCCTTCTCCCTTTTCATGTTCTTTGCCAGTTATTGCAGGCAGCCTCTGTTCATCCTTTTGCAGAGGTCATAGAAGAGTCTTATGCTTCATCTAATCCCACCTTCTAACAAGAAATAACACATATTTAAATTCCAAAGAAAAATGCTCTTTGTGTATCTCTGTCTAACAAAAACCAGATGCTAACACCTAAGAAGGAGAATCTGTCTGTGACAAAGGAAAGTGGAAGATGGAACCAACTATCTGAATATTTCATGCCAGAAGAGTTGCTATTAGCAACTGTTTTTAGCACCTTCAGGGCTTTGAAATGGGCTCTGTGGACAGCATTCTAGGTACAGGACTCAACCAAGCCTCCTTTACTGATTTTTAAGGCAGTTTCAGGTTGCCGCCTTTTGAGGTATATTTCTTTAAGTACAAGAGAAGTAAAATGAAGAGAGTTTTACTTTGCTTCCAGTGGTCGGTCTCTCTGGGACCTCAGCAGACACCAAAGCTTGTATGTCTGACCACTTGGAAGCAGTCGCCAAGGTTAGGATCAGGAAAGGATTTGATTCTTTTTCCATTTTCTCATAATAGTAGCCCAGTCAACACAAGACTCATAAAACATGACTCACTGTTGAGAGCTATACTATTTTATAAGCTT